AAAAGGTTAAAAATTAGTTTTTATTTTTTTATTACAAAAATGGTATTTTTTTTAATTATTTTTGTTTTGTTTTTAAGTTTTATATAGACACAAAATTATATAATTTTTTTGTTTTTTTTTTTGAATAAAAAGGGGGGGAAAATATAAAGTAAAAAAATTATAATTTATATTTTTTAATTTAATTTAATAAAAAAAAAATAATAACAACAAAAAAAACAATTTTTTTTACAAAAAATACCCTAAAAAATACAATAAAAAATAAATAAATAAGAATTTTTTATATTCCTTATATGAAATTACATTTACATACAGTTAATTAACAATCTAAATTATTAGGGCATAAAAATTCAAAAGTTAAAATTTATTATTTGAATAGATAAGGTTTTATATTTTTATTCTATTTTATATATTTTTTTAAAAAAATATAAATAATTTTATTTTATTTTTTTATATGAAAAAAAAAAAAAAAAAAAGAATAATGGATTGATATAGGCGTAGGAAATATATATCATTTATCGCAATTTAATGATTAAACAGAATTATAAGAAGAATATATTGCAGTATATGCAAATTAATTAGAAATATTAGTAGAAACAAATGATTTAGAAGAAGATGAATTAAATAAATTAGATAGAAATTTAAATGTTAAATTAATAATTAAATTCAGATTTCATCCTGAAAATCATTATGAAAGGCAAAATGGTAAAAATTTTGTAAAATAATAAATAATATAAATATTAAAAAAAAGATTCTATAATAATATGTAAGGAAAAAATATCATTTTAAGAATTTGCTATAAGTTTTGCAGATTCATAATCTGCAAATGAATTATGGTATTTTTATATATAAATAAAAAAAAATATTTATATATAAAATAATATATATATATAAATATAAATATAAATATATATATATATATATATATCTATATATATAAAAAAAAAATTATATATATTTATATAAATTTATCATGTATATACATATATATATTAAATTATTTATATATTAATATATATATAATTTAATATATTAAGGGAATATTTAAGAAAAATAATTGTGTTAATATGAATGAATGTTATGGTAATGGAGATGATTAAAATAGTGAAAATAGAGAATTAGAAATGCCTACATATTAAAAGTTATAAGAAATATATTAAAATGTAAATTTTAAAAATTAATTTTATTTAATATATTTTTTTTATTTTTTTATTTTATGATATAAAGGTTGATTATGATTTTGAAAACTATATACAAGGGATTGTTAATAATGTTTTTTTTTTTTAATATATATTTATATATCTTTATTTATATTTTATATATTTATATATATATATATATATATATATATATATATATATATATATATATACAATAAATTCTTTGTTGTTAATTTATATAAAAAAGCCAGAATATATAAATAAACTTTTTGAAATTTTTTAAGAATTAGAAGATTTAGAAGAATATGAAAAAATTCATTTAGTTTATTCGATTATTAGAAAAATTAGTAAATAAAAATTGTTTTTTATTTCAAAATATTATTTTATATTTAAAAAGTTTTTTCAAACGAATAAAAATTGATTGTTTTTTTAATGAAAGAAGAAAATTTTGAAAACTGTCTTGGTGTTTTTGAGTGTATTTTTTTTATTATTATTATTATTATTAAAAACTATTTTTAAATATATATAAGATAAAAGCTTGAATGCAGAAAAATAATCATATAGAGATTAATGGCGAAAAGAAAATAAATTCAAAGAAATAATTTAAATTACAAATGAAAATGTATTAGAAAAAATACATATCAATAATAGATTATAATATTTTAAAGATTATATAATAAATACAACTATTGAGGAATAAATAAATTAAATAATAAATTAAGTAAGTAAATTTAATTAAATATATATAAATATTTATATATATATATATATATTTATTTAAATATTTTTATTGAATAATTAATATTTATAGATAATTTTAAGAAATAATATAGAAATACTTGATTATATAAAATAAAATAATTTCATAGATGATTTATGTGATAAATTTTTTAATAATCTATAAGATTCTGTTTAATTTTTAAGTGAAATCGTTTCTATGTTAAATAATCCAAGTCTTGTAAAACAAATTATATTAAATTTTATTTAAAAATATAATTTTTTCTTTAAAAAAAAACAAAACAAAACAAAAGTAAGTAAAAAAACATGAAATATTAGAATCTATGAATAGTCATAAATTTATAGTAATTCTATTTAAATCTTTAGATTTTATATAAAAAGACGAAAGAATGGATTCTTAAATAAAATTGAAAAAAAGTATTTAATTAATAGAGGCAATAACAATAATCTCTTAAGAAAATAAAGTTATTTTAATTAATATAGTATTTGATTTAGATATAAATGTTATTAATAAATAAATTTATAATTTTAATTATGAAAATCACTAATATATGTCCTAAAAAATTTCCGTAAATTAAAATTTTGAAAATAATCATACTTTTTAAATGAACTTAGATTCCAAAAGATAATATTTAAATTAATTGACTTATCTTTTGATTACATAGGATACAGGGCTCCAAATTTAAATTGTGGAAGTCTTTAAAATTATCACAGATTATTTTAAAATTTGTGAAAATATATCTATTATGTATTCTTAAACTTAATAAATTATCGAATTTACTATCGAAGATTGTCTTTTACCTTGTTTGAATTATTATGTGGATTCTAATGTATTAATTAATAATTAATTTATTAGTTTCGTAACCTAATTTTTCGAACTTATCTATATTTTTTATATGCTTAACCCATAATTTTTTAGACATCATATTATTGAAAAATAGATCGTTTTGTAATTATTTAAATTAAAAAATAAAAATTAGAAAGTCATTTAGGCTTTACTAGTTAAATTAATTAAAAATCTACTCATAAAAGATTAATCTTTAGTTAATTATTTTCTTGAATCTTAGATTATTGATAAAATTTGGCTTATTTATTTATAAAATGATAAAAAATAAAATTTAATAAATTCTATTTTCTTAGAACTTATTAATTTAACATTAATTTAATATCCCTAAAAACATAAAATTTTTTATAGATATATGGTAATATTTATATATATATATATATATTTTTATTTTTATATATTAAATAGTTTGAAAATTATGAAAATGAAATTAGATAAAGAAGTTCAAATAATATGTATTTTAAGACTATTTGTAAAGAATATGACAAAAATAAGAAATATATATTAGATTTATATGATTATAATAATAAAGATGAAAGTTTATAGGATATTAAAATAATAAAATGTCAGAGGAAAATATTTTGATGAAAATGATGAGGAAGACGATGTATTTTATGAAAAAAGTATATTAAGAAGTAATATAGATATGGAATAAATAAATTTAAAGAAGTAGAAATTAAATGAAATTATTTTAAAAAGCACAGAGTAGGATGATATTGAAGAGTTCTAATTTATTAATAATAATAAAAATATTTAAAATATATAAAACAATGAGGATAAGAAAAATAAAAGAGGTGCATTTTCTTTGTTTTAAATTGATATTAATTTCAATGAATTCGATGAAAATAAAGAACAGGAAGATTTCAAATAAAATAATAATATAAATTAAGATTAAATATATAATTCTGAATATGAGATAATAGTTAAGAAAATTAAACATTGATATATATTATTTATTTATTTTTTTTTTAGAAAAAAAAAAATTTTAATATTTTTTTTTTTTTATTAATAAAATAAAATAAAATATAAGTATTTATTAATAACAAAAATACATATATAAAATTAATATTATTTAAATATGTATATATTTTTTTTGTTTTTTAATAATAATATAAAAAATAATAATAATATATAAATATACAATATATATTTTTAATTTTTTTGTTTCAATAAATTATATGAAAACTAAATGCTGTGGATTTAAAAGAGCATAAAGTAGAGTAGGGACAATGAAAGAAGTTAAAATATTATCTGAATAAACTAGATTCACAGAAAAAGAAATATTTTAATACAGATAATAGTACATAAAATTCATTTATTAAAATATATTGTAAATATAGATTTATGAGAATGACATAATCCACTGGCTTTTTAGATAGATAAAAATTTAGAGATTGTATGGGAATTTTAGGTTTAGATAGCGTTTAATTTTTAAGCGACCGTTTATTTAATGTTATGGCAGATCCTAAGGGATAAGTATATACTTATTTATTTAAAATAGTAAAAAAATATAATTATTTTTTTTTTTAAAAAAAGATTCCTTTTAACAGATTTTTGATATATATTGATACTATTACTAATGGCGATGAATAGGAAAAAGTGGAAATGTCATTTAGGTTAATAGATGATTAAAAAAAAGGATATTTTGATAAGGAAAATTTGGCTTCTATGATTAATAGTATTGTGCGTTCTTGGGCAGCTTTAACTTAGACTTAATTAAGTATAGTTACAAATTTATTATATATATTTATTATTTTATTATGGAAAAACTATTATTAAAAAATAGATTAAGATATTTAAAGAAAGGTTTAATTATAAATAGACCATATTTTTGAGGTTATGGATATGAAATAAACAGGAAAAGTTTATTTGGAAGATTATTAAAAAGTAATTCAAAAACATCCAGATTTGTTAGAAATTTTCGATTTTTTAAATAAAGGAAATATGGAGAATGGGGCAGAATATGAAAATAAAGAAAATTAACTTTTGAAAAAATTACTTAATTTGGAAAAATGCATTGAAAATGCCTTGTCTTATTTAATTGGTGAAAAAGAAAGTTTAATAGTATATTTTTCGTAATAAAATGAAAATAATTAAGATAAATAAGAAAAACTATAAACTAAAGTATATAAATAAGTATATTAAAATATATATATGTATAAATTATATACATATATATTTTATATATATATATATATATATTTATAATTAGATAGATATATATATATAATTTTATATATTTAAAGGCTGCCTCATTATAAGAAATAAAAAAATAATTAGAAAATTATTGTTCGTAGAATTTCAATGAATTTTATGAAAAAAAGAACGAGATTTAGAATAATAATAAAGTTAGTTTTGAGAAAATCAAAAATGAATAAATATAATAAATAGAAATATAATAAAGTTTAGTAATTTCTAATAATTTCAATGTCTTTGAATAAAAAAATTCAATAAATAATATATTATCAAATGAGAATGTTTAAAATGTAATAAAATCATAGAACAATTTCACTTTTACAGATTTAAATTAAAAAGATAATAATAAAAATATAAATAATAATAATAAAAATAACAATAATAATAATAATAATAATAAAATAATAATAATAATAATAATAATAATAATAATGTTAATAAAAGTTTTATTAAAGGAATAAATTCTTTAATTATTAATGAAAAACCTGTATAATAGTTTCTTATGTAATAAAATATATAAGAATATGAATCTTTAGTCTTCGAAAAATAAACGCCTTTATATACTTTTGCAAATAAACCTTTAACTATATAAGAAAATAATACAATTATATAAGAAAATAGTTCTTTTGCAATAAATAAAAAGAAAATGAGTTAAAGTGATGAACTTTATAATTTAAAAGATGAACATGATATGTTATAGGAATAAAAGAATGAATTTAACTTAACTTAGTTTTAATAAAAATATTATAGTAAGTGCTGTTAACTAAATTTAAATGTTAATTTAGTTAAAATTTAAAATTAAATCAAAGGGGATATTGAAGAAGATATTGAATAAATTAGTGAAAACAACTCAGATTCTTATGAAGAAGAGGAGGAAAAATACGCTCCTGAGGAAAACTTGGTTTATTATAATAATATTGATAATACTTAATAGATTAATAATAATAATTTAGAAAGTTCGACCGGTATTCATAAAATATTCAATTTTAGAGATAATAGTTCTCATAAATCTAAAACTATAAATAATACACCTAAGAATATTATTTTAAATAATGAAGAAGAAAATTAATAATAATAAATAAAGGTTAAAGCACTTTCGAATACTATATAGAAAAGTAATCTTAATAATAGTACATGTCCATAATTGAAAAATTCGAATATAAATAAAATTAAAAATAGCGAATGTTAATAAATTATTAATGAAGGAAGTTTTAAATAAAGTCAGTTTATTAATAATAATCCAGATTTAGAACCTAAACTTTAATAAATGAATGCAAATTAGATGAAATAAAGAATTTAAAATGCATATAATTATCTTAATATAGTATAATCTAATGTCAAAAACATCATAAAAAGTCTTGATTAAAATATCCTTTAGAGTAAAAATTAAATTAGTAAATATGTAGTATGATATACGAAAATAATTAATAATAGAAAATAAAAAATGAGGCTAGCCCAAAAAATATATAATAGGCTATTACTGGAGGAATTGTCCAAAAAAAAGCAAGTATATAATAAAAAGAAGAAATGAGTAAAACTTAAAAAAAAAAATAGAAAAAGAAATAATCTATGGTATTTTTTGGGCATTAAGATTGGAATCTAGTCGTTAATATGATGATTGGAATTCGAATGAGTGTAAAATCGGCAGCATCAAACATTTCTGACAATGTAATTATATTTATATTTATATTTATATTTATATATATATATATATATATATATATATTTATATATTTATGATTTTCTTATTTTTTTAAATGTATTTATAGGTTTTATATAATAGGGATTTTAAAGTGAAATATTTTTTTGAATTGTTACCTAAAAAAATAGGGCAGGATAAATAACAAATTTACAAAGTTTGTAAATTCTAAGACTATGCTCCAAATGTATTTTAGAAAATTAGAGCATTATATAATATTACAGATGATGAATATTTAAAAAGTATTGGACCTGACTAATTGTTTTCTAGTCTTGTAAAAGGAGATTTCAATAGTTTTACTTAATTAACTAGTACAGGAAAAAGCGGTTCATTCTTTTATTATACAGCAGATGGTAAATTTACTTTAAAGACTATTAATAGAACTGAATTTAACCATTTAAAGTAAATATTGAAAAATTACTATGAACATTTATAGAATAATAAAAATACACTTATTATTAAATTTTTTGGGTTACATAAAATTAAACTTAGAATGAAAAAAAGTATGAATGAATAAATTGTTTGTTTTGTTATTATGGGAAACGTATTTCATACTAGAAAATATATTAATGAAAAATTTGATTTAAAAGGTTCTAAATATGGAAGAATTACAAAATAAAGGTACTATTTTTTGTTATTTTAAAAACCTTTTACTTTATATTTAATAGTTTATTAAAAAGTAAAGGAATTACATTTAAAGATTTAGATTTTATAAATAAAAGTCGAAAACTTAATGTAAAAAATAATCAATATGTAGAATTTATGAATATAATAAAAAAAGATGCTTAATTTTTCGAGGAAAATAATATTATTGATTATAGTTTACTAGTAGGAATTCATCATAAAGTAGTTTTTATAATTAAAACAAAAACATTTTTTATAATTAAAAAAAAAAAATTTTATATTTAAAAAAAACATTTTTTAAAAGTAATCAATAATGGATGATTCATATTAAAATAGTGAAATTTAAAATTAACATTTAAATGAGTTTCGAAACGAGGTTTTTAAAGCTTAATTAGATGATAAAAACAATAATTTATCTTAATTAATTTCTAGAGATAATAATTTTATATATTTATTTGGAATTATAGATATACTTACTTGTTTTAAGTATATATATATATATATTTTTTTAACAAGAAAAAAAAGTGTTTATTTTTTTGCCTTTTTTTTTTTTTTTAGTGCGAAGAAAAAATTTGAATATGTTGCAAAAAGAGTGGCTTTTGGACCTGATATTAGTGCAATTCCTCCAGCTTAATATAATTAAAGGTTTGTAAACTTTATAGATAGTATTTTTGATGAATAATCTAAATAAGAATAATAATAAAATTGAAAATTTGAATAATATTTATTTTTTGTATATTTAATTTTTTTTGTTTTTGTTTTTTTTTGAATAATAATAAAATAATAATTTTTAATAAAAATAAAGTTTTTTTTTTGGGTAAAAAATAAAATATAAGAAAAAAATAAAAATAATGAAATTTGATTAAATGAAGGTTTTTTGATTTTAGTTTAAAAAAATATGAAATAAAAACAGATTTCTTTATATATTTAAATATAAATTTATATATATATATATATATTTATATATATATATTTTTATTTAAATTATATAAAAGTAATTAAACTTAAAATCAATAAAAGAAGTAGCTATTTTTTAAGAATAAAAAGAAAAAATAAAATAGCTTTTATAATTATACAGCCAATAAAAAATATAGAATTAAAATTAAGATTTTTTTATTTAAAAAAATGAAAGCAATAAATAAAATTTAAATAATAAATTTTTATATAAATAAAATGATAAAAATAAAGAAAAATATACTGTAATAAAATTATTATAACAATAAATGTATATTTAAAATTATAATAGAATGATGAAATAGAAATAAATGAATTAATAAGTTTTTTAAATACTATAAAATCTGATTATACATCATACTAAATATTTTTAGAAAGATTTGGAAGTGAAAATAATTTTATAGAAAATCTTAAAAAAAAAAATGCAAGCATTTTTTTTATTAGTTTTTACAATTAGTAAATGATTTAATTAAAGTAAAAATAAAAATTAAAAAATACTAATATATAATAATATTGTAATACGACAAGAGAATAATATTCAAATTATAAATAATAATAATAATAATAATAATAATAATAATAATAATAATAATAATAATATTAGCTTTATTAATTAAATAGCTAAACAAATTTATCTAAAACTTAGAGCTGTAGTGACCATATTAATAATTATTAATTATAATAAATAAGTAATAATATGAATATCAGATATGTAAAAACTTAATATTCTCCTTCTCATAATAATAGAATATTTAATTTCATTAATGGAGATTAGAATTAACTAATTTTTTTAAATAAATAGGAAAATAATTAAGATATTTAAGAATAAATATGTAGTTTAGGACAAAGACTTAACGATTTAAAGATGAAATTAAAAATGAATAAAGAAGAACAAACATAAAAATTTAAAAACAAAGATAAATAAATATAAAAAAGCTAACAAAATTAATAAAATCTTATATTTAATAACTTTTAAAAAAATAATAACTTTTTTAACTAAAATATTTTTGATAAAAAATAATATTTTGATAATTCTAACAATAAATAGAACTTTGAAAAAATAGGAAATTAATAATAATTTCAAAAAAAATATAATAATATTGATATTTAGGAATAATTTTTTTAAAAAAATAAAACTTTATAAATTAAGACTTATAAAATAATTTAGAAATTAAGCCATAAATAAATAAAGTTTAAGATTTAGAATAATTAAACAAATAAATTAATTTTCTATTAGAGAAAAAATAAGATATAACATCAAATTATTATTCTTAATAAATTAAAAAAAATACTAATCAAATTGATAATGATCGATAAGGTAATTATAGTTTGTATTAGTCTAAAATCGAAAAATTAAATTAACAAACAGAAGAATTCCGAAAAAAAAGGATAGAATAAGAACTTTTCTAAAAGAAATTTTAATATGATTAGAAACTAAAAGAAGAAAAAACGAGAAATATAAAAATCGAAAAAAAACAAAATGAAATATTAATAAATTTAAAAAAGCTTTAAAATAAAGAATTTGAATATTTAAAAAAATTAAAAAATAAAGAGGAAAGAAAAAAAATTTTATAAAATTTTTAATTTAAACTAACCTTATATGAAACCTACAAAAGCAAATATTAATTATTAATAAAATATTTAATTTGATAAATGGTAAAAAACAAAATGTTTATTCCTATATAATAATGAAAGTTAAAGTTTATAAAATAAAAATAATCAATAGAGAGTAATGTAATAAGAACATTCTACTTATTATAATAAAAATTTAATTAATAATGATAATAATACATAAATTGATAAGAATAATTATTAGTTCGAAAAATTATATAGTCTAAATGATATAAATACTAAATATTTTGTGAATTAATTTGAATATAAAGATATTGTATGATTTGTAATACAAAACAAATAATATTTTAAAAATCAATAATGTATATTGAATGAATAAAAGACATATTTATATAAATTAAACTTATAATATTGAAATATATATATAAAATTATTATATCAATTTTTTTTTTTTTTATAAAATGTTAATATATAAATATATATAACATATTTTGTTTTATTATAAAATTTATAATATGTATATATATATATATATATATTTATATTTATATATTATTTAATTTATTTATTTTTAATTAAAAATTAAAAACTACTTTTTTTCTAATTTTTATTATTTTATTAATTTTTTTTATTTTTTTTAATTTTTTCTTAAAAAATATTATTTTTATTTTTTTTTAAATTATTATTTAATAAC